GAGCCTCTCGTGTCGCCTGCAGGAGACGGAGTTCCAGGCGGACGTGAAGGAGTACCTGGGGCCGCTGCTGTTCGAAATAATGCGCAAAAGGCACTTCCTGCAGGATGACGCCTGGTTCTGCAACTGGATCTCCGTGCAGGGCCCTGGGGCCGGTGGGGACGAGTTCAGGTTCCCGTGCTACCGCTGGGTGGAGGGCAATGGCGTCCTGAGCCTCCCCGAGGGCACAGGTGAGCGCAGGGTGGGGTGTGAGGAGGCCTCTGGGGCCCAAGAGAAGCTGGGGCTGGGGGAGAAGAGAAGAGGGAACAGGGTGTGAGGGCAGGACCCCCGAGGGCTGGGTCTTCTTTCCCGGAGGAAGAAGTGGATTGCTGGAGTTGGCACACAGGCTGGGGAGGGGCGTGATGCTGAAGGGTCACCCCTCCCCCGCAAGGGTCTGAGAGGCATTTCACTCCCTCGCTCAGTTTAGCTTTGGCCTCAACACAGGAGAAGCCTCTTAGTCCATGCCCTTGTCCACACCCTCCTTCCTCCTCTAGGCCGCACGTTGGTAGAGGACCCTCAAGGCCTGTTCAAGAAACACAGGGAGGAGGAGCTGGAAGAGAGAAGGAAGCTGTACCGGTTAGCCTTACCCCGCCCTGACCCCTCCTGACCTGGCAGTGAGTCCTGGCCCTTCCGGGCATCAATGCCTATTTCGTTTCTGCACCACAGATGGGGTAACTGGAAGGATGGGCTGATCCTGAATGTGGCTGCGGCCAATTTATGTGACCTCCCGCCAGATGAGAGGTTTCTGGAGGACAAGAGAACTGACTTTGAGACTTCACTGGCCAAGGGGTGAGAGCAGTACCAGTTACCTATCTTCTTTTATCATGTTTCCTTTTTTTTTTTTTTATGAACCTAGAGGAGAGGGAGGCATCCTGGTCCAGGGGCTCCAATGGACTGAACAGGCTGGATTAGCCCAAGGAGGGTGCTGATAGTTACGATGTGTGATTTTGAGACTAATTTTCAAACCCTTTGCCTATCCTTACCTGAAGCCTGGCCAAATTAGCCATCAAAGACTCTCTAAACGTTCTTGCTTGCTGGAATGATCTGGATGACTTCAACAAAATCTTCTGGTGTGACCACAGCAAGCTGGCTGGTCAGTATCCCTATTCCAGTACTTCTCCCAGACCCTTACCACCCAATCTAGGGAACCAGGGCTGGGAGACCTGAGGTTGGGTCCCTCTGGTGGGCTGGGGGCAAGAGGGAATGGTTTGGTGGGGGTTAGAAGAACCAGGAGATCAGATCTCACAACCTGCACCACAACTGCCACTCTCAGAGAAGGTGCGGGACTCCTGGAAGGAGGATGCCTTCTTTGGGTACCAGTTTCTCAACGGCGCCAACCCCATGCTGCTAAGGCGCTCCAGTCGCCTTCCTGCCCGCCTGGTGTTCCCTTCTGGGATGGAGGAGGTGCAGGCCCAGCTGGAGCAGGAGCTGCAGGTATGGACATAATGGCCCAAAGGAGGCCACACAGTGAAATGGGAGTGTGGTCAGTGTTTATGCTGCTCTGGGCCCCACTATGAGCCCAATTTGCCCCCAGATGCAAGAGGGGATTCTACAGGGGAAATCTTGAGTGATCCTGGAGGAGTGCAACCACATGGCCTTCCTCCTGGACTGAGAAAAGCATATTGTGGAGGAAGAGTGTGTGGTGGGTGATAGATGCAATCAAACTGAAGAAATAACTGGGCCTCGGTGCTAAGGATTTGGGGGAGTGTGTAGCAAGAGAATGAGATCAGGGGTGGGCTTATTAATCAGGAGTCAACATGGATCAATTGATGGGTTGGGCAGAGAAAATTCATGCATTATAGGGTGAGACAGACTTGGCTTTGAACCCTGGCTGTGCTGTTTATAAACTGTGTGACTTCAGGCAAGTTACCTATCCTCTTTTATCATGTTTCCTTTTTTTATAAACCCGGAGTTAATTCAAGTGCTTGTAAGACTTATGTGAAGCCATAGCATGTGATTCATTGCCTGTTACAAAGTAGGTGATGGAGATAAGTTAGTTTCCTTCTTGTTCTTCCTTTGGGCAATCAGGGTGGGAAGAAGATGCCTTATACTGATAGCCCTCGCCCTCTGCCCCCATCCAGGGAGGCACGCTGTTTGAAGCCGACTTCTCCCTGCTGGATGGGATCAAGGCTAACGTCATCCTATGTAGCCAGCAATACCTGGCTGCCCCTCTGGTCATGCTGAAACTGCAGCCTGATGGGAAACTCTTGCCCATGGTCATCCAGGTGAGAGGACCCAGGATTTCTGCTCCCCTGTGGTTGGCCCTCTCAGCTCAGCCCTTCACGGAAATTCACTAAGGATTCACCTGTGCTAAAGCCCTGGGGGCGGCAGTAAAGGAGGCAATGGGCAAAGGCAGAAAGGTGGGGTCTAGCTGGAGAGAGAGACTGGGAAATTCTAAATATGCTCCAGTACCGAGGAAGTACCTGAGGATGGAGATAGTGTGGGAGGGGTCATGGGAGGTGGGGTGGGCATGAGCCTTGGTGAAGGAGCAGGACCTCCTCCCAGGGGAAGATGGGTTGGGCAGAGATGGGATGTGCAGAGTGTGAGAAGTTAGATTGTCAGTGGACAATTGGGCTGGCGTGCTGGGGGGTAATGTGAGGTGAGAGGGCCCAGACTGTAACGGGTGGTGGATGCCAAATCAAGGAGTATGAAGATAAGAAGCTGGTGTAGGCTGTTGTGAAACATGCTAGATCCGGAGATTAGGGTGACATGTTACAGCCATTGCCCAAGAGGGGGGTAATGGACTCAGTTGTGGGGAATAGCTGTGGGGGTGCAGAGGAAAGCTAGATGGGCATGCAGAGGAAAATTAAACTGGCCTGGAAAGAGAAAAGGAAGAGTTAGGCAAGACACCTGCAGAAATAGGACAAATAAAGAGAAAACGATGCTCAGGTGGGCTTTTGTCTGGCAAATTATGAGGTAACTAGAGGCCAGATGCATGAAACTGTGCAAGCGTAGGCTTTTCTTCCCCCGGTTGCCGGCAGCTACTCCCCTCTGGCACCCGGGACCCGGGCTTCTCTTGCAGCCCCTGCTTCATCTGGAAGGTCATCCGGAAGGACGTCCGGACTAATTAGCATATTATGATTTTATTATTATAGATGGGGAGACACTCAAATTGTTACATCTAGCCAGTGACTAGCTGAGAACTGGAGACTTAATCTGCTGAATAGGGGTGGTGTTGAAAGATTAGAGAGAAGCTGAACTTTCTGAAAAAGTGTGGGATAAAGGAAGCAGAGGGTTTGAATCTGAGGGGAGTGAAAGGGCAAGTGGAGGCCAGGAAGTCGGTAGAAGAGGAGCTTGTGCGGAAGGCCGGCAGAGCAGCATGTACAATGTTAATACACTGAGTGGTAGGAAAGTCAGGAGAAGGAACAGTGGCTGCTGGGAGTAGCAGCAGTGAGATGGAGAAAGCTAAGCAAATTTGGGGAAGAAGGGAGCGGTTAAATATGCAAAAGGGGGGAATCTGCTGGGCACC